AACACTGGGTGGATCTTTATCATTATAGGGGGGTTGTATACACACACTGCCAACACACATTTCAGTTCAAACAGCTTGTAAAAGTGCATGTCGCATCCGATGACACCCTTTAAATAAGCTATATAAGCTTTGTAAAAGTATTTTTCATTTTTAGTTAATGTTAACTAATGTATAGTAGATAATGTTAACAAATGTAACCTTTTTTTTTAAAAAGTGTTACAGTAAAGTAACAGTTATTAAGGGGGTAAATTTTCAAAATACATTTCATGGTATATTTTTCAAATTAAATTTTAATAACTTATTATTATTATTATTATTTATATAGTAGTCAACATTTTAAGTAGATCAAAAAAGTTAATCAAAGTCGTCCTAAGACAAGAACGCATTTTGGTTTTACGTTTTAAGACAACTTTGATGAAAGGATTTGATTCTCTTCAAATGTTGACTACTCTACTTTAGTTTGGGGACCAATTCTCATGATTAACTAACTACTATGACTTTTGCCTCAATAAACTCCTAACTTGCTGCTTATTAATAGTTAGTAAGGTAGTTATTAAGTTTAGGTATTGGGTAGGATTAAGGTATCTAAAATATGGTCATGCAGAATAATGCATTAATATGTGCTTTATAAGTATTAATAATCAGCCAATATGGTAGTAATATTCATGCTAACAACCAACTAGTTAATAGTGAGAATTGGTCCCAAAACTAAAGTGTTACATATTAATTTTATAGTTTTTTATTATTTTATATTTTGATTTTTTTCTATAATATTCTGGTCCCTAGATATGCCTTAAGCTCCTCCTTCTATGCAAATCTATGGGAGTTTTACCCATTTTATAATTTGGAATGTAAATTCCGTTCATATCATTGATTAAAAATGCAAATTAACCACACAATTTGATGTAACATTAATATTCCTAACCCTTCAATTCTTCAAAAACTGTTCAAAGGCCATTAATTCTAATTATAAACAGTAATAATACTGATGTAAACAGCACTAATGATAAGAATAGCAGGCCTATTTGTGTATATGAAGGCATTTAGCAGTTGTTATCAGGTTTTAAGCAGACAGAAGGGTCTTACCTCCAGCAGAGAGCCCTTGAACACTGACTCCTCTGGCCCCTAAGAAATTCAGACAAGCCTCCACATTTTCAATCTGAAAGACAAAAACAAAGAGATCAGCCATACAGCAAACTTACCAGCGGATGGTTTTGGCAGTGAGGATGTGGACCGTGTGAGCGGGCAGTGATGTCAGAGAAGTGGCTATTGAACCTCACAAACATTCCTGTCAGCATTCAGAGTTCAACAAAGCCTTTGATGCAGACTGCAATGGTTTCTTCAGAGGGTCGCCCTCAGTAATAGTGTATTTCAGCATGTCTGACAGCTCAACTGGTGGCTGACGCGCGCATGTCGACGCTGTGTGAGGACACGTCCATGGCCTTATGCCCACAAAGGCTCTATTGTCGGGCGTCAGACACTGTCATGACCCCTGGCTAACCTTTGTGGGTCAGACCCGGCGTGTGACACTGAGACGGCAGTTTGTCATACCTACACACACGCTGACAGACAGACCAGGCATGACGTTGTGGCCCAATCGAGGGCTGTAATAATACAGCACTTGACTGAAAGTGGGGTAATATCCTGGCGCCTGCACTCATGGGCGCACAAAAGGACTTTGGCCATGTGATACGCATGGCTCACATTTTTTGCATTAGTATAGGGCATAATGCTGGAGAAGTTGTACAGTAAGGTCAGGGCTGGTCAGTGGGCCAGACCACACTATATTATTATGCGACAAGCACAGTACTATGTGGAATGCATTGTGCTGTGTGACGGAACCGAAGACAGTTGACTCAGCTCGTACAGTACGAGACCCTGAAGGATTGCTATTGTGCACAGTTATTAATACTGTCCATAATACACTGTCTCACTCTAGCTACAATTTCCACTGTTTTAATGCTGTTTCAAAGAGTGTTGTAAAGCCCTAGCTATCCCTTTAGATGATTGTGAAATATTAATAGATAATATTCAGGTCACACTTTAGTTTGGGGACCAATTCTCACTATTAACTATGACTTTTGCCTCAATAAACTCCTAATTTGCTGCTTAAAAACAGTAAGGTAGTTGTTAAGTTTAGGTATGGGGTAGGATTAAAGGATTTAAAATATGGTTATGCAGAATAATGCATTAATATGTGCTTTATAAACAGCCAATATGCTAGTAATATGCATGGTGATAAGCAACTAGGTAATAGAAATAATTGGTCCTTAAAATAAGGTGTTATCAATTTTCATATCTAATATATACACACAGTGCAATAATATTGAATTTTATGTTTACTGTAATATTATTAGATTAGCATTAGTGTTTTTTTCTCTGGCCGTTAACATTAATTCATGACTCTTGTCACGCTGTAAAATTAATGCTAGCTTGTAAGCATATTCAAATTATATTCCAGCATGCAGAGAAAACAGAATCTGAATAAACTTTTTCATACAGTGCTTTCATTCAAAATATCAGATATTATTACATGGCTGTGCACTGAATAAAGCGCTATAAAAGTAGAGAGAAATAAAAGTACTTGAAGGTGACTGGAATACTTGATTCTGATTGGTCAGCAACAGCTGTCTATGGTTAAAGACTGCCAAACTGTATAAATGATTGTCTCAGCCACCTAAAGTCCTGTGTAGTTTTGTAACCCATATCTTTTTGTCTTTCTTCTGACATGAGAAATTATTTAAACTCAATATTTTATTTTATCAGCTGGTAATTATATCAAAACATGCCCTTTAGATTTTTATTTTTATTTATTATTATTTTTTTAACAAGGCAAACATTTCTATGAGGACTCAAATAATGGAGTGTATATCCACCGTTCATACAGGCACCACTAACTGACATTATTTACATCAAAAAAATAATTGCTGCAGTGCCAGTGAGGGATGACTGGACTCAATTTAAGGTCATTCTCACAGCTGTCCTAGTGCAGAAGCGATTACAGTCTTCCACACAACTCCATCCATCCAGTATTCTCTGACCTCAGTGCCTCACAGCGTCCAGCACTGAGCCAGAAAGATCCACACAGATCACATACAGTATTAACTCCCACACACACTCGCAAACACACAGGACGCCGAATGAATGAGCAATTGTTAATGTGATCTGTAGCGACAGCATCTTGTTTCTTCTTACATCTGTCCCAACGGCAAGTAGCTGTTTTTCATATGACACACATCCCACACACAGCCGCACATGCAAAGAGCCTAATGCACTTTAAAACGTTTGATTATCTTCTCTCATAAACCTCTTTTAATGGCAACATGGTGCAGAACATGTGTGGTGCACCAGAGATGGGCTGTTTTTCATTGCAGTCTCATTAAGACGACGGCACCCGCGCACATGGGTACCCGACAGCATGTCCCGACCAAAAACTGATTCAGACATTCTCAACGAAAATCAAACGTACTAATGCGGTCGAACGCTAAACGCTGGCCTGGCATTTCAACCGCATCATTTAACACTTTTCTGGAGTGTTTACTATATATGATATCTGGTAATGTCCCAGCGACGGATTGAACATTTGTTGCCGACACTAAAAGTGCGAGCGGACGCTCTTGATTGACAGACGTGTGCGAACAGATGTACAAATGGGGTTTACATTCTAAAAGCGAGGAGATCATCAAGTTTGGTGTCCGTTACGGATATAATCCCCTAAGTAAGGATGGAAATTCCATCCATGTTTTAATAGCGGTCCCATCAGCACATCATTCTGTTTATTTTTAGTCTGTCTCTCGGCCTACAGCAATGTATACAAACATAAACCGTGATTCTATACGCTAATGGCGAGCAGAGCTCTCGGCAACTTTAGATGCCGAACCACCGCTTGCCGAGCGGTTTTTCAAACCATGTGGGATTTTAACAACTCTCTGGGAAAGTCAGATCATCTGTTTTTCCGACATAAACTGACATTTTCCAGCACCAGATATGTCATTAAACGAAATTAGGGAGGAGAATGTTTTGATGAGGTATATTTTCACAAAATAATATTGAGAAATTTATAAGCAAGCAGTTTTCAGGGCTGACATGGATGCAAAATGGATGGAAAATTACTATGAGTCGGCTTACGTCCCTTACTTGAAACGACAACGACGAGCCGTTTAAGTTTACTGTCGCTCTGAGCAGCAAGCATCATAAATCTGATCGTTTTTCATCTATACAACACACTTATCAGAGCAAGGCTTCAATGCAGAGTAAATGTTTGTACTCGGGTCCGGCTGTGCGGATCCAGATGCTGAGGGGCCTAGTTAAATGCGCAGGGACCAGCTCCAAGTGTATCGGATAACCGTAGGGTGAGCGCTGGCTTTGGAAAGTGTTGCTGCTCCAACACTACCATGAAATACAAATGGTCTCAAGTCTCAATTATATGGCTTTCACTTAAAAACCACTCAGAGCCAAGAGAACAGATAAACGCTGTTTTCTCCAGCACTTTTGGTTTTACAGAGAAACAGCTGCAGTCGTTTTGCTCATTTCATTTCCTCTGATCGTAGTGACCACATGCACATGAATTTGATGAGCTGTCCATAAGAACATAGCAAAAACAAAGTCTGTGCAATAGGAAATTTTTACAAGAGTTAAAGTATATCTATATATTATAACTTTACAATTTTGAGTCAATTTTTTAATTATCCAAAAAAAAAAGTTTTCATTATAACAATATTGCCACGGTTGTGATGTTCAGAAGGCGCACGAAGAAGAAGAAGAATTTAAACAGTCTAATTATCCACACAGAGGGTCCACAAAAGGCAGGCAGGAATCACATGCACATACACAACGTTAACTTTAACACTGGACGAGGGAACACAGGAACAGACTAGAACTAAATATGTTGGCAAATGAGGATAATTAACGAGACACACCTGAACCAAATGATACAAACAGACGGAAAACTAGGTCACATAGAACACATGGGGAATGAAAACACAACAAAAGTCCAATGGCGTGTGATAAATATATTTTTTTATAACTGTCTTCAAAACTGTCTTCTATGGCAGCCTGTTTCCATCACTGAATATATATATATATATATTTTTAAAGATAATTGCAACTTTTTATCTCATAATTTTGATATTGCAAGTTCAAATCTCGCGATTCTGACTTTTTTCTCAGAATTGAGATATAAACTGACAATTGGGAGTAATAAAGTCAGAATTGCGAGATATAAAGTCAGAATTGTGGGAAATACTATCGCAATTGCGAGTTATAAAGGCAGAATTGTGAGATATACTGTAAATGGCAATTCTGACCTTTTTTCTAAGAATTGCGTGATATAAACTCACAATTGTGACTTATAAAGTCAGAATTGCGAGTTCTACACAATTCTGAGAAAAAATCAGAATTGCGAGCTTTTGTGAGAACTGCAAAGCAATTGCAAGATATTAAGTCAGAATTTTGAGATATAAACTAGCAATTCTGAGAAAATATCAGTATTTTTTCCCTTCAGAACTGGACTTTATAGCTCGCATTTGTGAGTCTATATCTCACAATTGTGAGTTTATATCACACAATTCTGAGAAAAAAGTCAGAATTGACCGTTTATTTCTTGCAATTCTGACTTCATTTCTCAGAATTGTGAGTTTATATAATTACAATTTAGGGGATTCTATCATCCAAACTAACTTTAACTAACTTTTTTTAAACCAATGTGTTTTTAGTTAAAAAGTTGTTTCCCCTCCATTTTTATCTTTTTTTTGTTTTGTTTTTGTTTTTGGAAATATTAAATACATTTTGCAAATACTGTACATACATAAAAACAAACATCGATACATTTTTGCAAAACTGGAAAAGTAAAAAGTAGTCCCACTCACTCCTACGTAATTTAATCACAGTTATTTATTTATTTATATATTTATTTACTTACTTATTATAAAGTGTGCTACCGAATCGCCATAAGGCATTATTATAATTGAAATACAATCCAAGTCAAAATAAAAATGTAGCATTTTACTCATCCGAACTTCTGTGATAAATGAATAATAACTTTTCTTAATGGTTTTAATTCACAGATGCAACAAATAAGACCACAGAAAATAATTTGTGCACTAATAGTGTTATAGTAATGCTTGGCAGGTCTCTTTGTTAGAGCCACCTCAGTGCCAA